CGTCGTTTTCTGAATAGAATATTTTGTTCTTTATTGAATAACGTGCTAATCGTTGCTTCTTTTGTTAGTAAAGGGCCAAACTGTCGAAGCTAAACCGATATGAATCAAGCGCCAAAGCCACCGAGAAAAATCTCCATAAAAAAATGACAATTACCGTGGCTCTTCTGTTGTCTTGTTCACCGAAAATGAAACGCCATGGAAATCCCTCATATCCTCCTGCTTGCTCGCTTCCCTCGTCAGTTTTGTCCTCACGACAAAGCGGCCGAGCAGGAGGCCGCCACCTTCGCTCGCAACACCACAAACTGCAAAGGTTTTCTTCTTTTTTTTTTCTGTGGACGTACTTAGCATGTTTGCCAAGGAGATTAGAAGGGGAGGAGGGGGAGGGGGCATGACGTAAGCCGTGTAGCCTCCACAAGCCATGCTCATTTTCCTCCTTACCCTCCTCACTTATCGGGCCAACGTGACTACAGCACGTGACCTTCGCGTTGTTGATGGTTGCGGGTAACAGGGAGCGCGGTGCTGGAGGATTTTATTTATCAGTCATCACAACTAGAATCTCTGGCCCGCGCCCAGCCGACCGATTCTACGACTGCTGCGCTTCGTTATGTACCCTCAACTGTAAAGTAAATGCATTCTTTTTTCTACAAAGCGTTACCATCCTGAAAACGATAGTATTCAACCTAGAACACCAGCGCTGTAACGATTGCCTGTTGGTGTGTTTTGGGTAATGTACAGCGCATCTGAGGGGAGTATTCTTTTTGACCTCCTGGCCACTAGTTACTACAGTGGCCAAAGCAAGAATAAATTATACACACACATGATTGCGTAACTTTGTCGACCCGACAGGTTAGACCAGAGCGGTACACAGAAAATATATATATACATTTTTTTTTTTTTTTTGGGGTGGGGGGGGGGTTGGGAAATGGTGGCCATCTTGAATGGCCGTTTTTTATATTTACTTAAAAAAACAGAAGCATATGATCGGCCTATAATTAAAGCGAAGCTGAAGAGTTTTTTCGAAAAAAATGAGTTCATGGTTCATTATGACATGTTTTGGCCTGCTGAGTCTAAATATACTCAACCATTTGACCCAAAATAACCCCTAAACGCACCCACCTTTACCCAGGGGGGTAAAGGTGGGTGAGGAGGAGTGGCAAATCCCGTGCGCCGACATCCTGGGTCCCGAGTGAACGAACGCAAAAGAGAGCGACAGAACACGAGAGAAAGAAAGCAACGTTGCCATGGTAACGCGAAGAGTGAAAACTCTCAGCAATATAAACAGTAATAATTTAACGTTGTAAACTAAATTATGAGCTATTCTAACGCTTATAAAAAGCAATAAACTCATTACGCTGCATTAACTTCCCTTCTGTCGAAATCTCGGAAATCTGGTGGTTGCGCAGTTTCGTATTCCTCAACCGCGCCCAGCCGCGCCCCACCGGCGAAGCCGGGTATATGGTTTAGTTTAGCGTTAACGCGAGGCCGTACATCTGCGCGCTTTTCAAAAAGAAAGCTTCGAAAGGAACGTGAATATCTTTCCACCGGTAAGTTCGTGAATTGTTGAAGTTCACGAAACTGCTCTGATGATGTAACCGTGTTTGGGACCCCGAGGGTCTGCCTGCGTGATCCGCCGCTTGCGGCAGCCAGAATGTATGGGAAAATGGCGGACCTTTTCCTCTAGAGTTAGTATGTATGATCTCTATGCCTTTAGCCCCCTGCACGAAACGCGAGACTGCGGGAAAAGCCATGCAAAACCGGATAGACGATTGATGCAGTATACGTTGTGTTGGGCGGCCGCTAGCGCTACCAAGCTTACGCATGCTCAATTACGGTTCTCAGTTTAGTTTGTTTCGAAAGGCCACCAAAATGGTCCTTTGGAGCAAGCATGGCGCAGATTACCCATATTTTGGCAAAATGTAGCAGGATGTAGCAGGGTTAGCTCCTTGGCGCAGTTTGGCGCAATTGGCGCAGCAATCACATCACTGGTATCCTTAAACATTTTCCGCCCACAGCAAAACGGAGGTCTGGATCCGCCACACAAAGTTTGAATTATTGGGAGGATCGAGACATCAGAGGCCGAATTCAGAAAGCAAACTTACGATAAAAACTTGCGTATGACAAAACCCGAGAAGAAATCCTTATTAACAAAACAAGATTGTCGCAACTTTTGTGTGACTTACAACGAAATATTACGTTATCCAAAGTGTCTTACAAACGTTTTAAGGCAAACATGGCCGCACATCACTTGGCTATTTCGCCGCGACCAGCAATGAATATAGAAGCGTGGGCAAGAGGCATGTGTTTTACGCACTGTTCACATCCATCCCTACTTGAAGCAGCCTAAGGACAATGCTAAACTACACACGGAGGATTCAGCCGACGAGTCTGCCGAGCTGTCCATCCTGCCCGTTAGAGCTAACGAGGTGCAGGACTGCGATCAACGGCGAGATGCGCCAATGAATCAACGAAAGAAAATGCCACACAAATCTTCAGTGCACCCAAAAAGATCCTTCACCTATGAATGGCGTGAACCTGATTTGGTGATTACTAGCGCCCTCTCATACTTCAGTAGTGATTTTCAGAGTGGTGAGCAGCTGTGCGACTCTACCACACTAAAAGGCACATTCCTGACTGGATGTGCCTTTTTAACGCGAAAGCATTATATGTCCACGGAGCGGAAAATCCGAGTTGTACCAAAAGTTAACAGAGGAATAAAAGAAAGAATAAAATGTGCTTCCATGGCTGAGATTTGAACCCAGTGCTGCTCTGTGAGAGCCGGGCATGCCAGCTGCTCTGCTATCTCAGCCGCTTCGGAATGCGAGATTACTTTCCCCTCAAAAAGAAGCTTGTCCCATTAAAGCAAAAGACGGCATGTCTTTACCCGCTCTTCGTCCCTGTTTATCCGAGGCTGTTTTTTCATCATGTTTAACGGCATCGGCGTTGATGTGCCCGAAAGATGGTCATAAAAATATGTCCTCGGTTCGATGACATCACACTCCACGCGACGACATGACGTACCATGATGTGTGACGCCGCATGATGTAATGTAAAACAAATATTAGAGGGGCACTTAGGTATCCTTACGTGAATTGAATGCGAAAGCATTGCCATTCCTAACAATAGAGAGGAAAAAGAAGGAAGTGTCGTTAGGAATGAAAATGCTTTCGCTTTCAATCCACAAAGGGATACCTAAGTGCCCCTCTAATATTTTGTGTGGAGTAGAGCTCAAATAAACGCCGTAGGGTGCAGTATATCCATGATTCAGTTGCTGCTAGTCGCGAGGCTTAATCTTTTGCACCAACAATACCATAGTTTTTCCTCGGTTGCGACGAAGCGCCACTGCGCTACGAACTTGCTAGAAATTTCTGCATATGCGACCGCTTTCTTCTGGAAACCTATGGTGACCTGCCACTCACTTTTGGCCAAAGAACAGTGAAAATACCAGATGTGAAAACAGCCATAACAAGCATTAAAGAAATCAAGATGGGGGTCATAGCATTAGCTTCCTAACGTGGCGAGACTAGCACAGGATTTCTGTTACTCGCAGTTTATAAGACAGGAGTCGACTTTTTCCGGTCTGATCTTGAAAACAAAGTTTGGTTCGGTTAATTTTGTAGCAGAAGGCCCGTGCTTTCCTATTTGTAGGGTCATTTTCTCGGTTCAAAATATGACACCGAGTCCTTCCCATAAAAATGCATGGGTGCCCGCTAGGACTCTTCGAAATGATTAAATTAACTGAGGTCATGCTATACTCTGTTGCCACTCTAGAATAGCAAAGCCCCTCCCACAAAGCCCTTCACTCTGTTTAATAAGCACACACTAGAGAGAAGGAAAACCAAGAGGACACCGCCAATCATGGCGAGCAAAGGGAATTGTGGGAGGGGCTTGTGCTATTCTATAGTTGCAACGGACTATAACAAAAGTTTACAGTACCATGAAAACAAAAATACCAAGTATGCACAGAAATTTGCAGGAAGTGTAGCAGGGAAAGAATAGAAAGAACTGCAGCTGCAATATTTACCCTTTAAATTTCCCTCGACAGCAGAGCAGAGACGACATGCTGGTCGTCAGAGCCTGGAGGGCCACCCCCTTGTACTGGGAGCACATGTAGTCTGAAAGAAACAACAAACAAAAAATTAAATGCATGGACAATCCGCACATGCTGTTATTTCGCTTCATTGGCCGCTTCAGAGAAAGCAAGCATGCACACCGTTGTCCAACCATGTCAACTGCTAGCCGAATCTTCCTGCCGCCAGGATTAAGATATTGCTTGCGCTATAAAAAAAACACAAAAAAAAACAGTTACACACTACCCAGCTGGCACGCTGAAAGTTCAAACATTGAAGAAACTAACTCATAAAACTTCAATGCACGATCTACACCTCGTGGACAATACACAAAAGTATGTTCAGTGTAAACCTTGGTGCACTGCAAGGCTGCTTTACCTCAGCCAGTTTGGAACATCTGCAGTTTCATTCTTTTCAAGATATTATGCCTGAAAATTTGTGACAAATTAACTGGGTTAAAATTTTTTAATCGACACCCGGCCCAAATTGTTAGGAAGTATTGGGCAGGAGATCGAACTATAGGGGGCGCTCGTGATCTTCGCCATCGACATCATCATCAAAATAAACATTGCGCTGTGGGGACAACAAGCCCGCCATCGCGTTGAGTGTTGTGTGTGTACTGCGTGATCGCCACGATTACTTCCCGCAATGGTCCGTTATTGTTCCGTGCCACAATGCACGACGTACGCTTTCGAACAAGGTGTCAGTTTTCACCATTATCCGCGCGACAAAAAGCTGAGGGCACGCTGGGTGTGGAAGTTAAAAATGGGGAAGAAGTTGACGGCCCATGCCATGGTGTGCAGTCGGCATTTCTCGGCCGATGCTTTTAAAGTGAAAAGAGCCGACGTAAAAGGTATGTGTTCGAAGACAAGGCTAGAAATGATTCCCGTTTTAAAATCGCTTTGCATTTTGTCATAGACTGGAAGAACAGGTATCTGAAGCCATCATCCGTTCCGTCGGAGAACCTTCCAAAAGGCTCACACGATCGTGTGGTGAAGACCCGGAAGCCGCCTAAAGGTACGCTGTTGTCAAATGAAGGGCACGATTATTACCGCAACGTGTGCTGTTGATATCTTCATATGCCAGTGGTCGTCCTGACATGTTCGTGATTATTGAAGCGTGACTAAGTGCGTCCTCATTCGATATTTTGATCACAGTGCGCGGAGCCAGCCTCGTACGCCAGACGTAGCTTACGGCGGTCGTGTACGTCTAATGTCACATAAAATGACCGAGCCAATGATCGTAGTGTCTAGAGTACCGTCCGAGAGCGTCCAAGTGCCGTCCGACAGCCCTCTACCCACACGATCACGTGCCGTCGGAAAGTCTTGTATAAATCGTGTTCTCAAAACGAGTTTTCCGAAGTGGGCGGTGGCGTAGTGGTAAGATGCCCGTCTCATAAATAAGCGGTCCCGGGTTCGATCCTCCGTGGGGACGTACTTTTTTGCTTTTGTTTTTTCGAACATCTTATTTTGCCGACGTATTTGGCGATATTTGTATTTATTTTTTTTTACAATTAATATTGGAAAAAAACCGAATGTTGTCGCCGAAATTTCGCTGAACGAAATGGTATGGGACTCTGTGATGGGGCACTCTCTTCATACTTAGCAGATGATACTATATGTTTATGGTTGCTGTGATAACAAACTTATGCTTAATGTGCATGCCTAATGCTCTAGTCATTATGGGCAGTGGTCAAGAAAAGGCTAAGTGAGAATTTATTTCAGGTGACAGAGAGAACCCATCCCTCGATGAGTACAGCCCCAGCACTCTCAGCCAGGTTGACCATGAAAGCTGCAACGGAGCACGCCTGAGGGCCGAGCACGTCATTGTTCAAGAAGACTGTGAGTACAGTCGAGAGAAGTGTGCACATAAACAAACTAAACAACTTATTAAAAGCATGTGTAGTTTCTTGTGACATGGCATGCCACATCAAAAATAGTTGTTTCCTCCTATTGCAGTGCTTAGATGATGCAACAGTAACAAATAAATAACCACTGGAATAACATTTTTGTTAAAAAAGCTTGTAAAATATTGTAATCGCTTACACAAGTGATTACAGTCATGGAATACCAGTTTGTAAAGGTAACGGCAGGTAGCTCCACCGTATCATGATGTCGCAGAAATGCCTGGGCCTGCATCTGTTGAGGTCTAGCATCACGCAAGTCAATTTGAACAATGGCTAGGCTGCTTATAGAAAGGCGACACGATTTATTAAAATTCAAACGGGGCGTGGTAGAGGGTACAAAAAGGATAGGACATTTATTTTCCGCAGTTATGTGGATATTTAGCATTCCTCATTCTATGGAGTCACGTGTACCAGTGGCATCTAGCTAGTCATAGTACCAAGGAAATGCTGGTACTTATGGCGATTATGTTTAACGTAATTGCTATCGTTTAGGCCAACAATATGGTGCAGTGGCACTTTACAATTGCAGAATCAATTTTAAACTGGTTTTGCAATTCAAATCAAGCGTAGGATTGTTTTGTGGGCCATTTGCATTTCTCAGCACTTTTATTGCATTACATGGTAGGCTTGTTTGATTTAACCAGCACGTCTTTGTCCCTGTTCTTTTGGCAGCGCCAAAAGAACAGGGACAAAGAGTAGAATAACGACGACACAGGGCACACTCTCAACTGAATTTATTAGGAAAAAACACAAACTTAAATACCAACGGGAGCACACCATCAGACACCAAACGTCACGTTAGTCCCCACCCAGACCATGTTTCTTCTGCACTGCTGGAGGCTGGTACACATAAACTGAACGAGCTCAGTGTTGCTTCAGTCTTGATATTTGCAGAAAGTCAAGGCAATGCAGGACTGGTTCAGCCCTTTTTAATTTATTTCGGCGTTCCATCTTCAGCAAACGTTTTATTGCACTGGCCATTCAACAAAAAGCTTTGACAGCAATGTAACTACAATGTGATCCTTAAACATTGTTGAAACAAAAGAACTAAAAACAAATATTGGATGACATGCATGTCGCAGCTCAGTTCGAGACCGTTCTGTGCGTTTTCTTATTTTTGTTCCTATGCGTTTCTACAGTGTTGAAGAGCTAGTCTTAGCCTTTCGTGTTATTTTATGTGAAGCTCGTTTAAACCGTATTCACTCATTCCAGTGAGTGAGCACTGTATATAAATCATTACTGCAACTGCTGTATGGAGTGTGTTCGAGATAATCCCTTCATTCATGTGGATAACCATTTGCACGCATATGAAACACATTCAACGTTTTGCTGATTTACTCGCAACACATTCAGGTGACGATGGTGTCTCCTCCTGTGGAGCTGACAGTGAGGCAACAGTGAGCTGTGGGGATGACAGCGAAGCAACTCTGACCTGTGAGGATGACAGCGAAGCAACACTGACCGGTGATGATCAGAATGAAGCGACAATGTCCAGTGAAGAGTGGAGCGAAGCAGCGGAGTCGTGCGAGGAGCTCAGCGACAGTGACTACGATGCAGAGTGTAGGTTTTGAATTTACACTGATATAATGTAGTTGTTCCATCCTTCAAGTTTATTTTGATATCTGACTGCCTTAAAACATGTAACTTGTTTCATTTGTTTGTACTTAAAAGCAAGTTTAAGTTGAGCGATAACATTTGTCACATTGTGCCTTTTATGAAGTACATTCAGACAAAATTATTGTTCATGCCGGCAAAGCAAACTTTCTTTTACACTTGCCATTGTGCAAAATTCAGTCTAAAATCGTTAAAATAAATCTGGTTACGACAGTCATTTGATCTGGTTACGACAGACATTTGAAATTTGGTAACTTTTACTGTCCGTGCCATTGATTCACTTTCGTATCTCCACACTACATATACTTTTACGACAAACTGCAATTTTGATAACTATCAAGGTCTCTTATAACTAGTTTAGACTGCACTTCTGTTCAAACTTCGGCTTTGATGCAAGAATGGGCGACATAGCTTGTCTTTCGTCAGTAAAGATTCGACTATGCGTTTACCAGCAATTCCACTGGTAATCAAAATGCACCATTTTGAATCTCATTGCATCTCACAACAGTGTGTGATATTGAACCAAAGTGTCCCAAAACCAGTGACTAAGAGTTATGTCATACTTTTTGCCACTTTCTGTTAGGCGAGGCTACCAAGCATAGGTTTGGCTGCAACAAAACGGACACCTCGCTTCTGTGCCAAGGGCCTCTATCAATATAATTTATTTATTTGAATACGCAGACATATTTTCTTGGCATTGCTTTTTTTTTTTTCTTGGAGTTGAACCTGACCTCTAAGAACAAGCAACAAAATGCACCATTTTGAATCTCATTGCATCTCACAACAGTGTGTGATATTGAACCAAAGTGTCCCAAAACCAGTGACTAAGAGTTATGTCATACTTTTTGCCACTTTCTGTTAGGCGAGGCTACCAAGCATAGGTTTGGCTGCAACAAAACGGACACCTCGCTTCTGTGCCAAGGGCCTCTATCAATATAATTTATTTATTTGAATACGCAGACATATTTTCTTGGCATTGCTTTTTTTTTTTTCTTGGAGTTGAACCTGACCTCTAAGAACAAGCAACAAAATGCACCATTTTGAATCTCATTGCATCTCACAACAGTGTGTGATATTGAACCAAAGTGTCCCAAAACCAGTGACTAAGAGTTATGTCATACTTTTTGCCACTTTCTGTTAGGCGAGGCTACCAAGCATAGGTTTGGCTGCAACAAAACGGACACCTCGCTTCTGTGCCAAGGGCCTCTATCAATATAATTTATTTATTTGAATACGCAGACATATTTTCTTGGCATTGCTTTTTTTTTTCTTGGAGTTGAACTTGACCTCTAAGAACAAGCAACAAAATGCACCATTTTGAATCTCATTGCATCTCACAACAGTGTGTGATATTGAACCAAAGTGTCCCAAAACCAGTGACTAAGAGTTATGTCATACTTTTTGCCACTTTCTGTTAGGCGAGGCTACCAAGCATAGGTTTGGCTGCAACAAAACGGACACCTCGCTTCTGTGCCAAGGGCCTCTATCAATATAATTTATTTATTTGAATACGCAGACATATTTTCTTGGCATTGCTTTTTTTTTTCTTGGAGTTGAACCTGACCTCTAAGAACAAGCAAAATTTCCTAGCCCATCAAGCAAACCGAAATGCACTGCCGCACCCGCTGTTTCTCCGAGCAACGAGGCGAGAGATTCAGATACCCCCCTCCACATCGGAGCCTAACGCGGGAAGAGGCCGTGATCTGGCGCCAACTCCAATCCCACACCTACAGACACCTCGCCCTCCTCCACAAGTTTTATCCCACTATGTACCCTGCTAGCTGCCCACATTGCTCAGGGTACCCCTCCTTATACCACGTCACGTGGGCCTGCCAATCCCACCCATCCCTTCCCCCCATCTCCTCCCCTTCCCCGGAGACTTGGGAAGCTGCGTTGCTCAGCTCGCACCCGGACGACCAGCGTAGTCTGGTTGAGCGGGCCAAGGCAGCAGCGGCCAGCACTGGAGCCCTGGACTAGGGGCCCCACCCACCTTCGGATATTTCCATATTATAATAAAAGTTTGCATCATCATCATCTCCGAGCACACCGGTGCTATGCGCTGAAGCTTGACCCAGGAACACTGTTGATAAATGTGCTCTCCATTCCATCCTATATCATCAGTTTTCAGTATGTTTTGTGATCAAATGTGTACTTTCACAACCGTCACGAGTCGAGATGGCCAGGTTTGTGGTTTCCATGCTAACATCATATTTGCTCTCATTTTATTTAGGGACCGAGAAGTCGCTGCTTACCACAGGATCACCCTTCCAAGTAGATTCGTGCATTCAAGTGGACACCCTACTGAAGCAGAAGCAAGGGCCCCGAATTTCGTTGTCGATGGTAAAGTCCGACAAAGAGCTTGTCATTCTTTCTGGTGTTGGTTCACTACAGTTGATGAAAAACATTGTAACGGAATTCGATAATGTGAGAAAGCAGATGACTTTGAAGGCTCGTTTTCTGTGTTCGGGTGACCTTGTTTTGATGGTTATGGTGAAGCTCTACCACAACGTCTCTATTAGCTTCTTGGCTTTTTTGTTTGGTGTTCACAGAACAACTGCATCCGAAAACCTGAAAACGGCAATCTGTATCCTGAGTCACGTGCTTGGTGCTGCCGTCTTCATTCCATCCGACGAGTCAATCGAGGAAAACCTTACAGTGTATTTTAGAAAATTTCCTCACACTAAGATCATCCTTGACTGTACAGAGATAGCCATACAGAGGCCAGCTGACCTGACATCACGAATAATCACTTACAGCCACTACAAGAAGACATACACCGCAAAAGTGCTGATTGGGTGTGCCCCAACTGGCATGATAACCTTTGTAAGCAACGCTTATGGAGGAAGAACTTCCGACTGCTTCATCACAAAGGAATCGAAAGTTCTCGAAAAGTGCTCCCCACTTGAGCAAGTCATGGTGGACAAGGGGTTCTTAATTGACAAGCTGTGCGATGATGCCAGAGTAGAACTTGTTCGACCACCTTTCCTGAGGAACAAACAACGAATGTCGCGCACAGATGCAGTGCTGAATCAAGACATAGCCCGTGCAAGGGTACACGTTGAACGTGCTATTCAACGCTTGAAAGTGTTCAGAATACTCCAGCAGCGCTTTCCAACGCACCTGATGCCCCTCTTTGACGATGTAATGAAAGTGGTGGCAGGAATTGTGAACCTTTCGCCTCCAATTTTTGCCCATGACAAGTTTTTGTAATTTTAAAAGAAATAAGGGGATGTAAACACTCAATAGCACCCTTGTTTGTCATAAACAAATAAAGAGATAACACTAACTAAATCCGTAAATAAGGAAGCCCTTTTTTTCACAACCAACTCGGTTCCTTCGTCAGTGGTGGACTGCGGCTATGGCCGGCGAGGAGCATAATTTTTTTGTTCTCTTGAACCACCGTACCAGAAGAAAACAAAAAATGCTGCTCCTCGACGACCACAACCGCAGTCTAACCCTGGCGAAGGAACCGAGTTTGTTCCGAAATGTAGGGTTTTCCTATTTACGGATTTGGTTAGTGTTATCGCTTTATTTATTGTAGCACCCCAATCAGAGACTTCTCTCAAAATGTTCACTTTCAATGTCATGCCATGTCTAGCTAATGAAAGAACATACTAAAAGCTGCAAGTCCCATTGTTTCTCCTGTTGTCATGTACCTATTTGTTTTATTAAACTACCTGTTACACTTGCGAAAATGACCATGTGTGAGGTGTTCTTGCTTAATGCCTCAAAAGTGAACACAAAAACACGGCCTTTATCATACCACTCCTTTCAGGGCACGGAACAAGTACTCCAAGTAAATGAAGCGGACCGCCTCGACACATTCATCGAAATATTTCTGGCTGAACTTAATGTTTACCAGTCTCCAGACCGTATCCGACTCATAGACGAAGTAGTCACAGCTGTCGGTACCCGTGACTCCCATACCGATCTGTGTCTGGGTGTAATTGCATGATTTGGGGTCCTTTCCATTTTTAAGAAAGGAGTTGCTCAATACATTTGGGCATTTCACCTCTAATAGATTTCTTCTGCCTGGGCAGCACTGGCATTTATACGTGACTATGCCGTCAGGGGAACATCCTAGGAAGGGCATCTCCTCCCATACCATGAAACCCATGTTGTCAATCCTGGCGCAGTGACCATCCTTAGTTAGTACATTAAGGTACTTCAACTTGGCTTTCCCTTCGTTCTCCTGACCCCTCTTCATGGAGGCAGATTGATAAGTGTTCAGCCTGAGCACTAGATCGAGCAGACCGCCCACATTGTGTGGTCTAGGATGTATCGCCGGTTTTTTTACAGACGCCACCCATGTGCGGAATGAGTGGCAGATTGATGCCGTGGCCATGCCCTTCCTGTACAGCATCCACTCGGGCTCTGCAGATTGTGCTTTTGTTCTGCGCTCAATTTCTGCAATGACGTCCTTGGTTAGTACTTGCTTCAGCACTGTCAGGACGTTCTGGAGCTCTTCTTCTGGCATTCGCCGCAGTACTTCCAGCAGGTTAGGTGGACGAGATGCCACCACAGAAGAGCATGATGCTCCACTCGCCTGTCCTGAAATGCAGTATACACTTTTATTTGTGCCAAGCCATTTATTCAAGGACATTATCTAGTTCTTGGCAGATTCTTTTCAACAATCTGGATGTCCTAGTTCTATCCGCCTGAATGGTTTCCAGGAATATGGGTAAAACATATCAGGAAAGTGCACTAAATGCATGACCCGATGCAAACCAACACATGTTGCGCTCACATTATGAGATGTCAACAGGCTTTACATCAGGTGTGTACCCAGGTTTAGTTTTATGTGGAAAAGCTCTGTAATGATGCAGCATCGTTTGGCACTGCACCATGGTTATGTCATGCCATTGCAAAATTCCACGAGGTTGAAGGAATAAAGGTTGCCCTCATGAATTCGACAAGTAAACCATATCTTACCTGCGTGTGGCCGTTTCCGCTCGTGGATTGCAATCGAGCACACATATGGGAGGTCTTTCTTCAGTCGCCCAAGAATATTGGGTTCCACAGGGGGCAGTGCAGGGCGTTGAAACTGAAATTATTTAAATTCAGATCTGCAGGTCACGACACTACAAGGGAAAAAGGTTGTTTACGTACACAAACTGCAAGAGGCTCTTATGTACCACAACTATGCCTCAACCACAAGACTTGAGGCAGTGATTAAAGTAACCGGAACCGACAACATTTTTGGAACAAAAGAGCGTAATGTATCCTTTTTGCAACTAGTCCATGGGACATTAAAAGTTGGTCACTATTTGCATTAAAATATTGACTAGTGATCTGTATTTGCCATTCAGCCCACATTATTTTACCGTGATATGAGAAGCCAAAATTCGACGTGCTCCTGGTTGTTGACAAGTAAATTAATGCTCGATTAAGTCAGACACCGCAGCTTATGACAACGACCACTCAACACTTTCACAACAAGTGGTCCTTGGATCAACAAAACTAGCGATAAAAATGCCACAGATGACATACTTGGAAACTGGGCTTTGCGCCGAGATGACAGAGGAAGATTGGTGAGTCTTTTTGTTCACAATGTCATGAGAGCTGGAGCTTACCTTTGGACAGAAAGGAACCTTTGTCAGCGTCGTTGGGGCATACTTGACTTTCACAAGCTCTTTGGCGTGCTGACCCCACGCCTGTGGTAAATCAGTACTTGAGAGCTGCGGTAGTTCACGCATCCGGTTTGCCTTAAGCAGCACAGCTACACAATGCTTGCACCGGCTTGAGTTCCTGGGAGCAACACCAAAGTAAACAGCCAATTGTTCAATCCCAGGTTTAAATTTCAGTAACAGGCACACCGTATGACAACCCAAAAGCCACCCATCATCAATAAGACACCACTGAAATGTGGTGAACCTGAATTAGAGAGGACTCCCTCCCTTCCTCCCTCCCTCCCTCCCCTCCCCCTCCCCCCCCCCCCCAAAGCAAACTGAAAACAAAAGAATTCTTCTAATCTAGTTTAAGCAAATAATCAGTAACAAATGACCACTTACCCTGCCACGCATGAACAGGAAATGCTTAGGATCTCTCCGTGATTAAGATCCAAATTCACGGTGTGTGGCTCGCCGTGGAGCGCTGACGATTGCAGCACGTAGCCTACGACGCGAAGGACACCCAAAGCTGGCCCGGGCGCGACGCTGCATTCTATTACGTGCTCGCAATTTAGAACATCTTCGCCTTCAATGAGACACCTCTTACTGTCTCCCACATACTCCAGGATCGTTGCAAGGGAGATGGGTACTGAAAAGCAATAAATAATGCATACCTTACTTCGAGCATCTAATAGGACGTCAAAACAACGGGGCTTGTACATAGTAGGTGCAACACTGCTAGCAATGGTTTCCTCCCTTTTCGCTGGGAAGCTTTGCCCACATTTGATGCGATAGACCGTTCGTGTGTTTCGCAAGCACCAAGAGGCATGCTCCGAGTTGAGCTACTCTTCACTGGCGCTACACACTCCCCTTGTATGTAAGTGAGATTCGAAGTAAACAGTCCAAATAAAGTGACGACGGACAGGCGTGCGACCCGCCCCGCGCTGCGCGTGTACGTGCAAATCTACCAAGCTCTTTGGTGCTTCGGCAGTTCTGCAGAATGTCTTTTACATCATGCAATAAGTGCAAGCGAAGCCAAAGTTTGAAGCGCGAACACCTAGCGATTAACGACGCGCGCAGCGCACGGGCGGCCACGCCGGCAGTCGCAATCGAAGCTCCGGGCGTTACTCCGAGCGTTGCTCCTAGCTAGCCCCGCGGGCTCTTCTTTCAGCTACAACACACGCATTTATGATAAGACAGAGAATAATATGTACGTTCTAGTAAAAAGATACCGATGACATACCTTTCACGAGGCGAATATCGCCTTCGTCCATGGCTGTAATCCTTTGAAAATGGCTGAGGCGGGTTTTTGTTGTACCCATCGCTTCAGTTCCCCACTTGGCCGCTAACGGCGTGACGGTCGGCCCCCCTCCCCAATACTAGTGGGATAATTTCTAACTTACCATAATTATTTTTGGCATCCTGAAGGTGTCGCTTCAGGGTCCAGTTTTCATATTGGATCCACCTCACCCTCACAGCTGCAACCACACTGAAATGTTTGAAAAGTTTCAGGCAGGGTAATAAACGTCTGCAGTTTCTCTCGAACACCGCTGTCACACCTTTTGTCTTTTTTGTCATTTTGTTCTGTTTAAGGGTGGTTTGGGGGAGGGTCAATTGCGATTCTCGCACATGTTTACCTGAGCGCCAAAGGCATGAGCTCGGATGAGACTATACTCCCTTTCATACTTAGGGTGCAACGCTGTCAAAGCTACTGGCGCGAGCGTGGGGCTTGATCTCGTTGATCATTTGCACGCCTTCTCGCGCAAGCAAAACCGTAGATAAAGCCACGCACCCGCGCCAGTAGCTTTGACAGCGTTGCACGCTACGTATGAAACAGAGTGTAACGCCGGCCGAACTTCAAACCAATGGGAAGAGGAAGACAAGAAGAAGGAAGTGGGACTTGGAGCGTTTCAGGTTGACCAACCACGAACCTGTGACAACCGCATAGGTCATTCAACACACGTCCCATACCACTTAAGCACTGTGTCAAACTGCATTTTGAAGTCAGTCCCAGTTCCAACGGTGTATGAATAAAGGCATCCATTTCGTGGCATGCCTTGAAATGAATCGAAGTGACGCAAGCTGGGAACACACTGCTGCTGCTTCATTTGGGAATAACTGCGGCCCTCGGCTTTATCACATCACAATTGCAAAATGAAAGAGAAAAAAAAAAAGGCAAAAGGAACAACTGCTTTATCAATCTAACCGACAAATGCAAACCCAGTTCAGTTCTAGAAAGCCAGGGGACCGAAGTTTGTCCTAACAGTACAATCCAGTCCACTTCCATAACTTCAAAACAAAAGATGGATATCCTCTTCAACCATTTTGACTGTAAAAGGAATAATTGGCTCTGCATGAAGCGAATTCCAAGGAAGTCTAACTTCTGAAATGTAATGAAGTATTATCAATGTAATCAATTTATAGTTCAATGACATCAGTACACTGCTAAACCAATAAGACATTTTCTAAAGCAACGGAGTGAAAGTAGCATTAGGAATTCAATACATGCTCTATTGACATAAGCTACAATTTCTTAGACCATACACAGAATGAGTGGCAACTTTTCATTACGCTACACATAGAACCAAACATTAGGATAAATAAAGCAAACCCAACTACTTAAATAAAGAAAAAAAATCTAGCTTAACGAGAAAACGTGTGCCGAGAAAATAGGGAGTTTTAAAATATCGGGCGCTACTTTACCGCGCGTCACGGACGGTAAAATAGCGAGGATTGCGGCGAAGAGTTTTAGAATAGCGTTTCTCTGCCGGGGACCCCCCAAAACGCAAGCATCTCGCGCTTAAAACGCCACCAAGATGTCGCGACAGCTTTTATTTGGAATTTAGAACGTTTAATCTTGAAAATTAAAGAAGCTTTTTGTCCAGAGTAACATTTTTATAGTTGTTTTATACTCAATGCCGCATGTTTTGTTTTTGTCACTGCCAAGCTGCTCTGTTGTACCAGAGCATTGAAGGACTCTGGTTGTACTTACGAAGCCCAGACGATCCACTACCCAGGCATGCTTAGTTGTCTGCCACGATCGTAAGTACACGCGCCTCGATAGCTTTGCGCCTCGATAGCTCTGAGCTGTGAATCCAGCGATCCGTGGCGTTTTGAAAACGCTTCGACCATACCGACCGCGGGCGCCGAGTGCGACTCACGCAGTTCCCGAGCGGGCGACGGCGTCGAAGACGCGATCAACGGAGATGTCGTGGGCGCCGCCTTTTGCGGTACCCACGCCATTATCGAGAAATAACGGGCCCTAAAGCTCGAGTCCGAAGCTTGTTTTGGGTCTCCGCATGCACAGCAGCCACGAGATTACTCTAAAACTCCATAATGTTCACTTCTCGTTCAACGCGTGCAATGCAAACAAAGAAGTATGCTTACCAACTGCGTTGAGTTGCTCGTTCTGTCGCGTCGTCGGTCTTCCGCGCTCTTCTTGAACATAATCATCACAAGAGAAACTTCACAGATAGATAAACTTGATTAAATTAGCACATTTCCATGTCTAAAGGCCATTTCCATTCCGCGACACACCCAACGGTCGCAAAACTGGCGAAACCATGGCGGAAAAAGAAAAAAACAAAGAACTGGTGTCGCTACCGATGGGGCGTCGAAGACGCGATCCTTAAATTATGAAACCGAAACCAGTAAAAGTTACAATACTGAAACCGAAACTGACCAAATCGCGGTAGAGGGGCGCTGTAAATAGGTCTGTTCACATGATGCATCGTGTTGGCGAATTTTGTGGCGCAAAACTAGGTTTCGCGGAAACAGATTCCCCGTCTGAACTCAACCGAAAAAGTGGCGCGCCTCCGAAAAAAGTGGCGCGTGTTTCTCACTTCTGCAGCAATTTTTCGCTGAAACCTCACCGACGCCCGTCAATCACCCGAAGGAGAAACGCGGACGCTGCCAATAGCCGCTCGACTTCGCTATGACGTCTGACCTTCGAGGAGGCGCGAGCTTTTGGAGGAGTCTGATTTTTGGCCGATCCCGTATCCGAGCTTTGCCGAAAGAAAACAAACAAACATGGCGAGCGACAAGCCCCCCTATGCGACAAGCGAAGAAGCGTTGCGTACGAGCGACGAGTCTTGGTCCTACTCGGCTGCAGGTGTGTGAACGGCGCCTACAGTACGGATTGGGGGCGCGGTGCAGATTCGTCAACAGTCGCGGCGGGTGCAAGCACCGTATATAAACATGATGACTGGGGATAACGTTTTTTATTAGCGGTGTAAAAATGCCTAAAATGCTTCGAGATCATCTCGCTGTTTTTCCCGGGTTTGGCAGAACTATACACTCCGTTGGATGGATGGATGGATGAATACGGCTGAGCCCTTTGGATCGGGCGGTAGCTTACGCCACCTAGCCATTTTGTTTTACCATTTAAGCTTAGAATATTTAAATGTGAAATCTATATTCACTCCGCAGTGCAAAGAAAGTGAGGCTATGAAACCCCCTTGCCATCAGTGAATAAGAAAATACCTAGTTTTCTCTCGATTTCTGCCACCATTCACTTAATCTTTGCTTGGTAATCTCTACAGTCTTGAAATCCACTCTCCCTTCGCTGTCTCTAAAACCCAATGACTTTATTAAATCTATGTTGTCTTCGGTAGGCATAGGGTGAAGCCCTTTACAGTAGAGTATCAAGTGCTCAGCCGTCTCGTCCTCCTCTCCACAAGCAATGCACACTGTATCCATTTCCTGGTACTTCACTCTGTATGTTCTGGTTCGCAGAACACCCGTTCTTGCCTCAAACAGCAATGAGCTTCCCCTAGAATTGTCATAAATGCTTTCTTTGGCAATAACTCTTTTGTTTAATCTATAGCTTTCCAGAGCAGTCTTTGTCTGCATTCCCTCTAGCCACCGATCCCTTTCTGTGGCCTTAACTTTCTTCTTAACTGAGACTTGCTCTTCCGTATCTTCGCTATAGCCCAAAAACTTTCCTCTTAATTTCCTAGTGCGCTGTCTCCACTTTGTGTCTACACTCCTCATGTATAAATAGCTGAAAACCTTTCGTGCCCATTGCTCCCCATCCATTAGCCTCAACCTATCCTCAAATTCTACCTTGCTCACCGCTTCCCTGCTCTCAAATGATGCCCATCCCATGTCTCCTTGTACTCCCTGGTTTGGCGTTTTGCAATGCGCCCCCAAAGCCAGTCTACCTACTCCGCGCTGTTTTATTTCTAGTTTCGCATGCACTTCGGATTTCATGCATAGCACTGCGTTTCCAAAAGTCAAGCCAGGCACCATGACCCCTTTCCAAATCTCTCTCACCACCTCATACCTGTTGTAATTCCAAAGTGCTCTATTTTTCATTACAGCTGCATTTCTGTTGCCCTTACCTATTATATACTTTTCATGGTCTCTGAGATATTCTGCACCATCACATATCCATACTCCTAGATACTTGTATTTACTAGCTCTCTCAACTGTAATATTCTGTATCTTCAGCCTCTCAACTTCATCCTCGTTAAAAATCATGACTGCCGATTTTTCGCTACTGAATTCTAAACCTAATTCCTCTCCTTCCCTACCACAGATGCTCATTAATTCCTGCAACTCTGTCCTGTTGTTAGCCATTAGTACAATATCATCCGCATACATCAATCCCGGTAAGGATTGCTGAATTTTTTGGCCTAGCTTACTGTAAGAAAGGTTGAACCCAAGCCCACTCTTCTCTAGTCTATCCTCCAATCCTCTCAGATACAACATAAACAGCAAAGGCGATAACGGGCACCCCTGCCTAAGGCCTCGTCTTATCTCTATTTTCCCTGTCGCCTTTCCTTCCCATGTTATAATCACCTTGTTATCTTTGTAAATGTTCCTTAATAGTGCTGTTAGTCCTTCATCTAGGTTTAAGTTCTCCATTATGTCCCACAGGTTTCTTTGGTTCACATTGTCATAGGCACCCTTGATATCCAGAAATGCCAGCCAGAGCTGTCTGTTTTCTTTTTGCGCTATTTCTATACACTGTGTTAGAGAAAATAAGTTGTCCTCCAACCTTCTTTGTTTTCGAAACCCGTTCTGTAACTCGCCCAGTATGCCCTCGCAATCTACCCATTCCTCCAGTCTGTTCTTTATAATCTGCATTACCAACCTGTAAATAACCGGTGTCACGGTTATAGGACGATAATTTCTAATATCAGACTTATCTCCCTTTCCCTTATATATCATACTCATCCTACTAAGCCTCCATTCATCTGGAATATTTCCTTTTGTTATCATGGTACTCACTACCTCCCTTAGTTTTGCCTTAGATTTAGGACCCAAATTCTTCACCAGCTTGATAGGGATACCATCTGTGC